CCACCCCCCAGAGTGGCATGCGAGTGGTTTGCCACCCGCTGAGAGTGGCGTGTGAGTGATTTGCCACCCCCCGAGGGTGGCATGCTAGGGGTTTTTCCACCGCCCCGATTGGCGTGCGAGTGAATTGCCACCCCCCAGTGTGGCGTGTGAGTTGTTTGCCACCCCTCGAGAGTGGTGCGCGAGTGGTTTGCCACCCCTTGATAGTGGCATGGGAATGGTTTGCCACCCCCCAAAGTTGCTTGGGACTGGTTTGCCACCCCCCAGAGTGGCGGCAAGTGGTTTGCCACTCCCAAGAGTGGCATGCGAGTGGTTTGCCAACCCTCGAGAGTGGCTTGAGAGTGGTTTGCCACCCTCCGAGATTGGCGTGCAAATGTTTTGCCACCCCCCAAGAGAGGCTTGGGAGTTGTTTTCCACCCAACCGAGTTGCGTGCAACTCGTTTGCCACCCACCGAAAGTGGCATGCGAGTGGTTTGCTATCCCCCCGAGTGGCGTTCGAGTGGTTTGCCACCCTCCAGGTTTGGCGTGCGAGTGGTTTACCACCCTACAAGAGTGGCGTGCGAATAGTTTGCCACCCCCCGAGAGTGGCGTGCGAATGGTTTGCCACCCCGCAGAGTGGCTTGGGAGTGGTTTGCAACCCCCCCGAGTGGTGTGCGAGTGGTTTGCCACCCCCCCGAGGGTGGCGTGCGAGTGGTTTTGCACCCCCCTGATTGGCGTGCGAGTGGTTTGCCACCCTCCAAGATTGGCGTGCGAGCGGTTTGCCACCCTCCAAAAGTGGCGTGCGAATAGTTTGCCACCTCCCCATAGTGGCGTGCGAATGGTTTGCCACCCCTCAGAAAGGCTTGGGAGTGGATTGCCACCCCCACGAGTGGCGTGCGACTCCTTTGCCACCTACCGAGAGTGGCGTGCGAGTGCTTTGCCATCCCCCCATGTGGAATTCGAGTGGTTTGCCACCCTCTAAGATTGGCGTCCGAGTGGTTTGCCACCCTCAAAGAGTAGTGTGCGAATAGTTTGCCACCCCGCAGTGTGACGTGCGAGTGGTTTGCCATCCCGCAGTGTGACGTGCGAGTGGTTTGCCACCCTCCAAGAGTTGCGTGCGAGAGGTTTGCCACCCCCAAAAGTGGCGTGCGAGAGGTTTGCCACCCCCCAAAGTGGTGTGGGAGTGGTTTGCCACACTGCAAGACTGGCGTGCGAATGGTTTGCCACCCCTCAGAGAGGCTTGGGAGTGGTTTGCCACCCCCGCGAGTGGCGTGCGACTGGTTTGCCAACCACTGAAAGTGGCGTGTGACTGGTTTGCCACCGACTGAAAGTGGCGTGCCAGTGTTTTGCCACCCCCCCGAGTTGTGTGCGAGTAGTTTGCCACCCTCCAAGGTTGGCGTGCAAGTTGTTTCCCACCCTCCAAGAGTGGCGTGCGAGTGTTTTGCCACCCCGCAGTGTGATGTGCGAGTTGTTTGCCACCCCGCAGTGTGACGTGCAAGTGGTTTGCCACCCCTCAGAGTGGCTTGGGAGTGGTTTGGCACCCCTTGACAGTGGTGTGCGAGTGGTTTGCCAACCCCCAGAGTGGCTTGGGAGTGGTGTGCCACCCCACCGAGTGGTGTGCGAGTGGTTTGCCACCCCTCAAAAGTGGCGTGCGAGTTGTTTGCCACCTCTCAGAGTGGCGTGCGAGTCGTTTTCCACCCCTCGAAAGTGGCGTGCAAGTGGTTTGCCACCCCCCATAAGAGTAGCGCGGGATTGGTTTGCCACCCACCAAAGTGGCGTGCGAGTTGTTTGCCACCCCCACGAGTGGGGTGCAAGTGGTTTGCCAACCCCTAGAGTGGCGTGTGAGTGGTTTGCCACCCCCCGAGAGTGGCGTGCGATTGGTTTGCCACCCCCTAGAGTGGCTTGGGAGTGGTTTGCCACCTCCCCGAGTGGTGTGCGAGTGGTTTGCCACCCCTCCCGAGAGTGGCGTGCGAGTGGTTTCCCACCCCCATGATTGGCATGCGAGTGGTTTGCCAACCACCAGAGTGGCATGCGAGTGGTTTGCTCCCCCTTGAGAGTTGCGTGCGAGTGGTTTGCCACCCCCCGAGGGTGGCATGCGAGTGGTTTGCCATCCCCCCGATTGGCGTGCGAGTGGTTTGCCACGCCCTAGAGTGGCGTACAAGTGGTTTGCCACCCCCCGAGAGTGGCGCGCGAGTGGTTTGCCACCCCCTGATAGTGGTTTGCGAATGTTTTGCCACCACCCAGAGTGGCTTGGGAGTGGTTTGCCACCCCCTAGAGCGTTGTGCGAGGGGTTTGCCACTCCCCAGAATGGCATGCGAGTGTTGTGTAAACCCCCGAGAGTGGCGTGGGAGTAGTTTGCCACCCTCCGAGAGTGCCATGCGAATGGTTTGCCACCCCTCAGAGAGGCTTGGGAGTGGTTTGCCACCCCCCCCAAATGGCGTGCGACTGGTTTGCCACCCACCGAGAGTGGCGTGTGAGTGGTTTGCCATCCCCCCGAGTGGCATTTGAGTGGTTTGCCACCCTCCAAGATTGGCGTGCAAGCTGTTTGCCACCTTGCAATGTGACGTGCGAATGGTTTTTCACCCCCTGAGAGTGGTGTGCGAATGATTTGCCACCCTCCAGAATGGCTTGGGAGTGGTTTGCCACCCCTCCGAGTGGCGTGCGATTTGTTTGCCACCCCCCTGAGTGGCGTGCAAGAGGTTTGCCACCCCTCAATGTGGTGTGCGAGTGGTTTGCCACCCCCCGAGAGTGGCATGCGAGTGGTTTGCCACCCCCTGAGAATAGCGTGCGAGTGGTTTGCCACCCCCTGAGAGTGGCGTGCGAGTGGTTTGCCACCCCCCAAGAATGGCGTGTACGTTATTTGCCACCCGCCGAAAGTGGCGTCTCAGTGATTTGCCACCCTCCAAGACTGGCGTGCTAGTGGTTTGCCACCCTCCGAGAGTGGCGTGAGAATAGTTTGCCACCCTGCAGTGTGACGTACGAGTGGTTTGTGACCCCGCAGTGTGATGTGCGATTGGTTTTTCACCCCCCCGACTGGTGTGCGATTTGTTTGCCACCCCCAAAGTGGCGTGCGAGTGGTTTGCCACCCCTCCGAGTGGCGTGCGAGAGGTTTGCCACCCCCTAGAGTGGCATGCGAGTGGTTTGCAACCACCCGAGAGTGGCATGCGAGTGGTTTGCCACCCCCTGAGAGTGGCATGCGAGTGGTTTGCCACCTCCCAAGAGTGGCGTGCGAGTGGTTTGCCACCCCCCAGAAGAGTGGCATGCGAGCGGTTTCCCACCCACCAAAGTGGCATGCGAGTTGTTTGCCACCCCCATTAGTGGGGTGCGAGTGGTTTGCCACCCCCCCGAGTGGTGTGCGAGTGGTTTGCCACCCCCCGAGAGTGGCGTGCGAGTGGTTTCCCATCCCCCCGATTGGCATGCGAGTGGTTTGCCACCCCCCAGAGTCGCATGCGAGTGGTTTGCCACCCCCTGAGAGTGGCGTGCCAGTGGTTTGCCACCCTCCGAAGGTGGGATGCGAGAGGTTTGCCAGCCCCCAGATTGGCGTGCGAGTGGGTTGCCACCCCCCAGAAGAGTGGCGTGCGAGTGGTTTGCTACCCACCAAAGTGGCGTGCGAGTTGTTTGCCACCGCCTGATAGTGGGATGCGAATGGTTTGCCACCCCCCATAGTGGCTTGGGAGTGGTTTGCCACCCACCAGAGTGGCGTGCGAGTGGTTTTCCACTCCCCAAAGTGGCATGCGAGTGGTTTGCCACCCACCGAGGTTGGCATGCAAGTGGTTTGCCACCCCCCCTATTGGCGTGCGAGTAGTTTGCCACCCCCCTGAGTGGCGTGCGAGTGGTTTGCCACCCTCCGAGAGTGGTGCGTGAGTGGTTTGCCACCACCTGATAGTGGCATGCAAATGGTTTGCCACCCCCAAGAGTTGCTTGGGAGTGGTTTGCCACCCCCCAAAGTGGCGTGCAAGTGGTTTGCCACCCCCCAGAGTGGCAGGGGAGTGGTTTGCCAACCCCCGAGAGTGGCGTGGGAGTGGTTTGCCACCCTCCGAGAGTGGCGTGCGAAGGGTTTGCCACCCCTCTGAGAGGCTTGCAAGTGGTTTGCCACCCCCCCGAGTGGCGTGCAACTGGTTTGCCACCCCCCAGAGTGGCATGCGAGTGGTTTGCCACCCCCTGAGAGTGGCGTGCGAGTGGTTTGCCACCCTCCGAGGATGGCATGCAAGTGGTTTGCCACCCCCCTGATTGGCGTGCGAGTGGTTTGCCACCCCCCAGAGTGGAGTGCGATTGGTTTGCCACCCCCCAGAGTGTCGTGCAACTCGTTTGCCACCCACTAAGAGTGGCGTGCGAGTTGTTTGCCCTCCCCCCGAGTGGTGTTCGAGTGGTTTGCCACCCTCCAAGATTGGCGTGCGAGTGGTTTGCCACCCTCCAAGAGTGGCATGGGAATAGTTTGCCACCCCACAGTGTGACGTGCGAGTGGTTTGCCACCCCGCAGTGTGACGTGCGAGTGGTTTTTCACCCCCCGAGAGTAGCGTGCGAATGGTTTGCCACCCTCCAGAGTGGCTCAGGAGTGGTTTGCCACCCCCTCGAGTGGCGTGCGATTTGTTTTCCACCCCTGAAGTGGCATGCGAGTGGTTTGCTACCCCCCCGAGTGGCGTGTGAGAGGTTTGCCACCCCTCCAGAGTGGCGTGCGAGTAGTTTGCCACCCCCCGAGAGTGGCATGCGAGTGGTTTTCCACCCCCAAAGAGTGGCGTGCAAGTTGTTAGCCACCCCCCAGAAGAGTGGCGTGCGAGTGGTTTGCCACCCACCAAAGTGGCGTGCGAGTTGTTTGCCACCCCCACGAGTGGGGTGCGAGTGGTTTGCCACTCCTCAGAGTGGCGTGTGAGTGGTTTGCCACCCCTCAAGAGTGGCGTGCGAATGGTTTGCCAACCACGAGACTGGCTTGGGAGTGGTTTGCCACCCCCTCGAGTGGTGTGCGAGTGGTTTGTGTTGTGTGATGTCATCATATGCTATCACATTCTGTCTGCCTCCCATCCCTTGTTTCAATTCGCATGTATGGTTTGACTGTGTGTGAAAGAATTTGTGTGGTGTGTTCTGGAGTTTGGGAATGTGTTTTGTGTTATTCTGTCTGAGCAGGTATTTGTGATGATAGATCTTGAGAAGATCTTTCCGACGCAACAAGAATCGATTCAATCGGAGCAAGAACGCGAAAGCTATGAAGATTCAAAGTTCATGAGCTTGCGTTACAATTGCGGCGGTTACAAAGTGAAGTTGTGGGGTGACTTTATATGGAGTTGGGACCTTTGGGGGTTGGGGAAATTTGTCACTCTACTGTAACAGCTGCAAATTGGTTGGGAACAACCAAGCTAGGTTGGCAAGGGTGGCCAACTTGGATGGATTGGTTGGGAAGGGACAAATGTCAAAATTGGGGTTCCTATAGGGAGGGAATCTTTGTGCTTATGGGGTTTCCTTGGTTGGGGACTCTCTTGGGACCTTCCCTCTCATCCCTCTCTTTCTATCCCAACCTTTCTCTTGCTCCTCTAATTTTTCCTTGAGAGATTCTTGAACTTTGATTGAACTCTTGAGATTGAGTTAAGTTCTCCTCCTACAGCTTACCCCCTAGTGCGTCGAAAGCCATAGCGTCGCGAATACTTCATCAATCAACATGATTCAATTTGGGAACGGTAGCTGAGCTTACGATCTACAACATATCCGAGTTTCACGACATTCCAACGGCTAGTTTTTTGTCGACGTCGTTTCTTGTGAGGACGACTTTTCTGTCCAGAATTTCGGATTTATATTTTGAGTAATTCTAGCTCCTAAGTTCACCTAGACTTCGTCCTTAATCCTAACAAGTGGTATCAGAGCCATATTGAGGACATTGAGAGGAGTCTACAGAAGTGTGAAGACCCTTCTAGACCCACCATGGCCTGTGGGCGTGCCTAAGTGGTGTTCTAAAGGTTGGATGTGACTTCCGCTAAGGGGAAACTCTGCCGAAATTTCGTGGACGCCGACACTTGTGAAAATATCGAGGGAGCTGAGTCTGGACAGCAAAGGGGGAGCTGAAATTCGTCATTTCTCAAGGAGAAGATGAATGAGAGAGGAGGAGATGCTAATGGAAGAGGAGCTGTACCTGAGAAGACAAGTGAGCCGCCACCATCAAAAGTTGAAGCTTTGGATGGCTCCAACTATGAGGAATGGAGCGGGCGCATGAGGAGTGCCTTCAAACGCTACAAGCTACTGAAGATTAATGTTGGGGAGGAGAAGATGCCGGAAGAAGGCGAAGAACGCGAACGGTGGATTGAGAAAAGCACGGTGCTTTTCGACCTCATCCTTCAATCGGTCAACAATGAGATGTTCGAGCACATCAAGGATCTTGTGGAAGCGGATGATTCGGGTCCAAGGGCGTGGAAACTACTACGCGATGTGATTCAGCCCAACACTCTTCCGATGGTGATCGTGCTCGAGAAGGAACTTGCTGCAATCTCCATGCGACCAGGGGATGATGTGAAGCTGATCCTTGACAAGATCAAGGACACCTATGCAAGGATGGCAGCAGCGGGCAGCAGCGTTTCTCAGCTGCAGCAGTGCACCAAGATCATCTCGGTGTTGGATAACTCGTGGGACAACCTCATCCCCACCCTCAACTCTCAGCAAGATCAATGGACACCTGAGTGGCTAAGGCAGCAGATTCTGCAGGAGGACTTCCGCAGACGCCATGTGGGAGGTGGTGCTTCCACTAAGACTGCTGAGGGGTATGGAGCTGCAGGGCGCGGCAGAGGAAGAGGGGGTTGGAGAGGCCGAGGCCGTGGGAGGAGCTTTGGCAGAGGTAGTGGCCGAGGTGACTATAATGAGGGGCATGGGAGCTCTAGTGGCAAGGGGAGTACCAGAATGGAGGGCACCTGCTGGTACTGCAAGAAGGTCGGGCATCCTTGGTTTAAGTGCTTCAGCAGGCCGGAGGGATGGGCACCTCCAGGCATGAAGCCGCCCAGTGGTGAACGCGCACAAGGTGGCGCTGTGCAAGGCTCAGGTGCACAAGGTGAAGGTGCACAAGGTAATACCTATCCTGGGATGTTTCTCATGGTTGAGGATGTGCATGGGCATGAGGGTGATGTGGGATCTGTGGGAAAGGTTGTGATGCACCCTCTCACGCACTGGGTGATTGATTCGGGTTGCACCAGTCACATGACCCCACGGGCAGATTTGCTTGATGAGGTAAAACCCCCTGGGAAGATCAAGTATGTGGCAGCAGCGTCAGGTGCTTTGCTCCCTGTCATTGGTGTTGGAAATGCCAAGGTTAAGGGAGCTTATGGGGAGCTTGTGGGGCTTGGGAATGTTCTGCTGGTTGAAGGCTTGTCTGCTAACCTTCTCTCTGTGCGACGACTGCAGAAGAGCAAGGCCGAAGTGACCTTTGGACGAACCAGCTGCCGTGCTAAGCTTGGGAAGAAGGTGCTGTGGAGTCTGGAAGAGGAGACCAGCTGCATCAAGGACCTGTGGCAGCTGCCCATCATCCCATGGAATGGGAAGACTCCAACAGCAGCAACGGCAGCAGCGGCAAAGGCAACAGCAGGAGGAGATGCAACTGCACCAACTGATGGGGTCCTGGAAGCAGTCAAGAAAGTGCAGCAGCAGCAGACACATGGTGAGGTGCTTGCTGGTGTGGATGCGAGTGCGGCATGGGCTAAGGCTTCATCAAGGAGTGGAGAGGCCGATTGGGAGACATGGCATGAGAGGCTGTGTCATGTGAACTTCCCTATGCTGCAGAAGTTGGTGAAGGATGGGAGCCTGAAGGGCTTGGAGGTGAAAGGGGGAGTGAAGGAGATTGGAGCTGCCCTACATGCTTGGAGACCAAGTTCTCCAAGTTCCCCTTCAACAGCACTACAGGACCAGCCAAGACCCCACTTGCACTTGTGCACATGGATGTGGTGGGCCCACAAGAGCCCCTTCCCTCTCAGGCAGCCGCTATTTCTTGACAATTGTGGATGACCACACTCGGGCAGTGTGGGTTTACCCTTTGAAGAGCAAGGGGGAGGTGGCAGCGGCTGTCCTTAAGGAGTGGATGCCTAGAGCTCAGAGGGAATGCGGACACAAGGTGAAGGTGATCCGCAGTGACAATGGTGGGGAGTTCATTGGAGCTGATTTTGAGGGGGAGTTGAAGAGGAAGGGGATCCAACATCAACTGACAGTGCCCTACAACCCGCAGCAGAATGGCGTGGCTGAGAGGTTCAACAGGACCCTGCAGGAGGGGGCACGCACTCTCCTTGGGCGTGCAGGGCTGCCTGATCCGTTTTGGGTGTCTGCACTGAGGCAGGTCGCCCTTGTGAAGAACAGGGTGCTGGCTACAGTTGGAGATAAGGAGTGGATCCCATATACCAAGTGGTATGGGAGTGCTCCAGCTGTGAACATGCTGAGGGCATTTGGGTGCATGGTGGTGTTTCATGTGCCTAAGGAGAAAAGGGGGAAGTTGGAGGCTTCTAGAAGATGGGGTGTGCACTTGGGGATTGCAAAGGATCACAAGGGGTGGCTGCTATGGGACTTGACCACCCAGAAGTTGACAGTGTCAAGGGATGTGAAGTTTCTTGAGTCCCTGTACTACAAGGAATGGAAGCAGCAGCAACAGAAGCTTCCATCTACACCGCTCATTGTGGAGGCAGATGAGGTGCAGCAGCCTTCAAGACAGGTGGAGGTTGCAGTGTCAGAGGAGGAGATGTCTGGGGTGACTGAGGAAGGGGGAGCAGCTGAAGTGGAGCAGCAGCAGCAGCAGGAGCAGCAGCAGCAGCATGAGTCTCCACCTCGAGTTCCACACCCGCCTGAGCGACCTAGGAGGGATGTGCGCCCTCCGGTGAGGCTAACCTATGGGGGAAGAGGCAAGCCGAATGTGGTGCAGGCTGGGAGTGTGGTTGAGCAGATTGAGGAAGATGAGATCGCTCACTGCTACTGGGCACCAATCCCTGAGCCCAAGACTCGAGAGGAGGCTTTGAATGGACCAAATGGGGAGAAGTGGAAGGCGAGTGAGGATGAGGAGTTCGGGTCCCTAATTGAGAACGAGACATGGGACCTGTGTGACTTGCCTCCTGGAAAGAAGGCAATCACTTCCAAGATGATCTACAGGCACAAGTATGGACCTGAAGGGGAGCTGACCCGCTACAAGTCTAGGCTTGTGGCACGGGGGTTTCAGCAGACAAAGGGGAAGGACTATGATGAGGTGTTTGCTCCTGTGGGGAAAGGAACAACACTGAGGGTGCTGTTGGCGATAGCTGCACTCCTGGGATGGAAGATTCGGCAGATGGATATTGTGACTGCCTTTCTGAATGGGATCATTATGGAGGAGGTGTACATGAAGCAGCCAGAGGGGCTGGATGACGGGAGCGGCAGGGTCTGCGGCTGAAGAAGGCCATCTATGGCCTTAAGCAGGCGCCTCGTGCATGGTATCACAAGTTGGAGGAGGCGCTGTTGGCTGGGGGTTTCAAGAAGAGTGAGTGTGACCCCAGCCTGTTCCTGCTGCAGGAGAAGGATGAAATCCTCATGCTCTTGGTGTATGTGGATGATATCCTTCTCTTTTCTGCATCCACTGCTTTGCTGGACAGCGCAGAGCAGATGCTGGAGATGCAGTTCAAGTGCTCCAAGATGGGTGAGGTGAAGTACTACTTGGGGATGCACGTGGAGAGAGATGTGGAAAAGGGTGTGCTGAGGTTGCACCAGAGGAAGTACTGTGAGGGGCTGGCTGAGAAGTATGGGCTGCAAGATGGGGGAAAGCCAGCAACACCACTACCTTCAGGGTTTACTGTGAGCCATGTGCTGATGAGGAGGTAGTGGGTGAGAGTGACAGGAAGCTGTTTCATTCGATGGTTGGGTCGCTGAATTATGCTGCAAATCATACACGGCCTGACATTGCATTTTCTACATCACGGTTGGCTAGTGTGGTCTCACGCCCTAGTCATGAGCAGCTGGAAGCGGCCAAGAGGTTGGTCCGCTATGTGAGTGCTACGGCATCAGTGGGATTGGAGTACAGTGGAGTGAGGCAGCGGTTGCAGAGAGGTGCTGCAGATGTGAAGAGTGGAGAGATGCTCTTGAGTTGCTATACTGACGCTAGCTTCAACTCAGTGAAAGCGGATGGCACCAGCATTGTGGGTTATGTGTGCTTGCTAGGAGGTGGTGCTGTGAGCTGGCGCAGCAAGAAGCAGAATGAGGTGGGATTGTCCTCATGTGAGACTGAGTACATGGCCTTACACCATGGGGCCAAGGAAGTAGTGTGGCTAAGGCGTTTGTTGGAGGAGTTGGGAGTTGGTCAGGAGAAGCCGACAGTTGTGTTTTGTGACAATGAGTCCGCTGTGAAGCTCGCCAAGAATGCTTGTCTGCATGGGCTGACAAAACACATAAGGCCTAAGTGGCATTGGGTGAGGAGACTCCTTGATAAGGAGGTGCGGCTGGAGATAGTGAAGACACATCAGCAGGCAGCAGATATTTTCACCAAGCGTCTGGCGGAGGCGGATCATTGGAAGGGCATGAAGCTTGCTGGGATGAGTGTGCATTGAGTATGCATGCTTGAGATGTTGGTATGGTGGATGATGGTTGGCAGCCAGAGGGGGAGATTGTTGTGTGATGTTATCATATGCTATCACATTCTGTCTTCCTCCCATCCCTTGTTTCAATTCGCATGTATGGTTTGACTGTGTGTGAAAGAATTTGTGTGGTGTGTTCTGGAGTTTGGGAATGTGTTTTGTGTTATTCTGTTTGAGCAGGTATTTGCGATGATAGATCTTGAGAAGATCTTTCTGAGGCAACAAGAATCGCTTCAATCGGAGCAAGAACGCGAAAGCTATGAAGATTCAAAGTTCATGAGCTTGCGTTACAATTGCGGCGGTTACAAAGTGAAGTTGTGGGGTGACTTTATATGGAGTTGGGACCTTTGGGGGTTGGGGAAATTTGTCACTCTACTGTAACAGCTGCAAATTGGTTGGGAACAACCAAGCTAGGTTGGCAAGGGTGGCCAACTTGGATGGATTGGTTGGGAAGGGACAAATGTCAAAATTGGGGTTCCTATAGGGAGGGAATCTTTGTGCTTATGGGGTTTCCTTGGTTGGGGACTCTCTTGGGACCTTCCCTCTCGTCCCTCTCTTTCTATCCCAACCTTTCTCTTGCTCCTCTAATTTTTCCTTGTGAGATTCTTGAACTTTGATTGAACTCTTGAGATTGAGTTAAGTTCTCCTCCTACAGCTTACCCCCTAGTGCATCGAAAGCCATAGCGTCGCGAATACTTCATCAATCAACATGATTCAAATTGGGAACGGTAGCTGAGATTAAGATCTACAACATATCCGAGTTTCGCGACATTCCAACGGCTAGTTGTTTGTCGACGTCGTTTCTTGTGAAGACGACTTTTCTGTCCAGAATTTCGGATTTATATTTTGAGTAATTCTAGCTCCTAAGTTCACCTAGACTTCGTCCTTAATCCTAACAGTTTGCCACTCCATGTGAGTGGCGTGCGAGTGGTTTCCCACCCCCCTGACTGGCGTGCGAGTGGTTTGCCACCCCCCAGAGTGGCATGCGATTGGTTTGCCACCCCGTGAGAGTGGCGTGCGAGTGGTTTGCCACCCACCGAGGTTGGCATGCAAGTGGTTTGCCACCGCCCCCTATTGGCGTGCGAGTGGTTTGCCACCCCCCTGAGTGGCGTGCGAGTGGTTTGCCACCCTCCGAGAGTGGTGCGTGAGTGGTTTGCCACCCCCTGATAGTGGCATGCAAATGGTTTGCCACCCCCAAGAGTTGCTTGGGAGTGGTTTGCCACCTCCCAAAGTGGCGTGCGAGTGGTTTGCCACCCCCCAGAGTGGCGTGCGAGTGGTTTGCCAACCCCCGAGAGTGGCGTGGGAGTGGTTTGCCACCCTCCGAGAGTGGCGTGCGAATGGTTTGCCACCCCTCTGAGAGGCTTGCAAGTGGTTTGCCACCCCCCCGAGTGGCGTGCAACTGGTTTGCCACCCCCCGAGAGTGGCGTGGGAGTGGTTTGCCACCCTCCGAGAGTGGCGTGCGAATGGTTTGCCACCCCTCTGAGAGGCTTGCAAGTGGTTTGCCACCCCCCGAGTGGCGTGCAACTGGTTTGCCACCCCCCGAGAGTGGCGTGGGAGTGGTTTGCCACCCTCCGAGAGTGGCGTGCGAAGGGTTTGCCACCCCTCTGAGAGGCTTGCAAGTGGTTTGCCACCCCCCGAGTGGCGTGCAACTGGTTTGCCACCCCCCGAGTGGCATGCGAGTGGTTTGCCACCCCCTGAGAGTGGCGTGCGAGTGGTTTGCCACCCCCCGAGGCTGGCATGCAAGTGGTTTGCCACCCCCCCGATTGGCGTGCGAGTGGTTTGCCACCCCCCAGAGTTGAGTGCGATTGGTTTGCCACCCCCTGATAGTGGCATGCGAATGGTTTGCCACCCCCAAGTGTGGCTTGGAAGTGGTTTGCCACCCCCCAGAGTTGCGTGCGAGTGGTTTGCCACCCCCCAGAGTGGCGTGCGAGTGGTTTGCCAACCCCCGAGAGTGGCGTGGGAGTGGTTTGCCACCCTCCGAGAGTGGCGTGCGAATGGTTTGCCACCCCTCAGAGAGGCTTGAGAGTGGTTTGCCACCCCCCCGAGTGGCGTGCGACTGGTTTGCCACCCTCCAGAGTTGCATGCGTGTGGTTTGCCAACCCTTGAGAGTGGCGTGCGAGTGGTTTGCCACCCCCCGAGAGAGGCATGCAAGTGGTTTGCCACCCCCCCGATTGGCGTGCTAGTGGTTTGCCACCCACCAGAGTGGAGTGCGAGTGGTTTGCTACCCCTTGAGTGTGGCGTGCGAGTGGTTTGCCACCCCCTGAGAGTGGCGTGTGAGTGGTTTGCCACCCCCCGAGAGTGGCGTGCGAATGGTTTGCCACCCCCCAGAGTTACTTGGGAGTGGTTTGCCACCCCACCGGGTGGCGTGCGAGTGGTTTGCCACCCCTCAAAAGTGGCGTGCGAGTTGTTTGCCACCTCCCAGAGTGGCGTGCGAGTGGTTTTCCACCCCTTGAAAGTGGCGTGCGAGTGGTTTGCCACCCCCAGAAGAGCGGCGTGCGAGTGGTTTACCACCCACCAAAGTGGCGTGCGAGTTGTTTGCCACCCCCACGAGTGGGGTGCGAGTGGTTTGCCACCCCCCAGAGTGGCGTGATAGTGTTTTGCCACCCCTTGAGAGTGGCGTGTGAATGGTTTGCCACGCCCTCAGGTCCTACAATTCGATAGCCATGCTCACGAGTCAAACGCTGTTTTGAGAACCCAAGATTATGGGACTTAGGAGCTTTTCTTTTTTAAAATAGAATTCAGGTCTCAGCATGGTAAGGCTTTGGTCTAGCATGGGTGAAGTGCAAAACTTCTAGAAGTAATATCTCCTTGCCCACTTTGAATCAGGTCCTACATTTCGATGGGCTTGCTCACGAGTCGAAGGCCCTTCTAGGAACCCAGGAATATGGGGCATAGGAGCTTTTTTTTACGATATAGAATCCAGGTCTCAGCATGCCTAGGCTTTGGTCGAGTACAGGTCAAGTGCAAAACTTCTCAAAGTAATATCTTCTTGCCCACTTGGAAACTGGTCCTACAATTCGATGGTCATGCTCACGAGTCGAAGGCCCTTTTGGAAACCCAAGAATATGGGGCATAGGAGCTTTTGTTCATGATATAGAATCCAGGTCTCAGCATGGTTAGGCTTTGGTATAGTATGGGTCAAGTGCACAACTTCTCAAAGTAATATCTCCTTGCCCACTTGGAACCTGATCCTACAATTTGATGGTCATGCTCATGAGTCGAAGGCCCTTTTGGAAACCCAAGAATATAGGGCAGAGGATATTTTTTTTTTGATATAGAATCCAGGTCCAAGCATGGTTAGGCTTTGATTTAGTACGGGTCAAGTGCAAAACTTCTAAAAGTAATACCTCTTTGCCGACTTGGAATAAGGTCCTACAATTCGATAGTCATGCTCACGAGTCGAACACCGTTTTGAAAACCCACGAATTATGGAACTTAGGAGCTTTTGTTTATTATATAGAATCGAGGTTTCAGCATGGTTAGGCTTTGGTCTAGTATTGGTCAAGTGCAAACCTTCCAAATGAAATATCTCCTTGCCCACTTTGAAACAAGGCCTACAATTTGATAGGCATGCAGGGATGATTCAGCAAGATAGTGAGAATTGAGCAAGGTAAGGGTAATTAAGCAAGGTAGGGGGGATTATGTAAGATAGGGAGAATTCAGCAAGGTAGGGTTAATTCAACAAGGAAGGGGGGACTCAAAAAGGTAGGGTTGATTAAGCAGGGTAGGGTTGATTAATAAAGGTAGGGGTGATTGAGAAAGGTAGGGGTGATTGAGCAAGAAAGGGGAAAGACAACAAGGTTGGGTTGATTAATCAAGGAAGGGGTGATTCAGCAAGAAAGAGGGGATTCACCAAGATAGAGAGAACTCAGCAAGGAAGGGGAGATTCAGCAAGATATCGGGAATTCTGCAATTTTTGGGTGATTAAGCAA